GTTTAAGAATTTGGTATAAAAATCGATTGGTGCAGTGTATTATTTGTACTAAGAAGTAACTTGACCCAAAATACCTTTTATGTTTGCTTAGGGTATTTTTTTTCTGATAATCTGAAAGTCAAAGGTATTTCTGTCACAACTGTAAACAACTTTATCTTAAATGTGTTAAAACATATTCTTGGCTACTCTATATCTTTCATGCCCTGAAAGTCTAAAGGCTAATCCAAACTGGCATGTTTTAGAATATTTAAGAAAAAAGAAACCGTACTTTTAATACCAGTCTTTTAAATTTCATGAAGATTTTGGTGAGGAATAATGACAAAACTTTGAAAGTTCCCTTCTATAAAATATAACATACTTAGTGTCAATCCATGTGAGATCAGTATTTAACATTGGATGTTTTGTGTTTTATATTTATATTGTTCAAAATGCAAACATAACATTTAATATTTGTCAACATGCTTTTTACAAAAGTAAATCCTATATTGCTAAGCTTTGTTGTATGTTCTCATACTTTTTCAAATCACTATAAGAAATTACTTGATGTTTATTAAAAATCCCCTTAGAAACCCAAATCTATTTTATGGTTTCATCAGAGGCAAATATTTTGTGAAGTAGCCCAGAAAATCTACACCTTTTGTTCTTTTTATTTTTTAATTTGAATAATCATGTGCTTAGTCCCTTGGACTGCTGCCACATGAGTTTAACATGATACTAGCACATTCCCTTGTCATAAAGGTGTTGGCTAAAATTTATTCTTAATTGGATGTTTAAAGCATGCACTACATTGTTACAGTTGGAGTATTAGATTATTGACATGACATCATGAGAATGCATGAAATCTTATACCACATTTATAAGACATGGTTTTGTTTTCTACCCTTCTAAGCTTAACCATTAAAAATAAGGTGGTATCTGTCTTCCTGTACATTAAACCAAAATTGCAGCTGGGAAAAAGATTTAAAGTTATATATGAAAATATCAAAATCATTTTAACAGTATTACTTTAAAATAAGATGGAGAGTCTCATGAATAGTCATATTGGCAATTTGTATGTAGTTTGAGTAGAATGAAGCAAAGGGCAATAATGCTTTTGGATTTTTAATATGCTACTTTTGGATGTAAACAAACATCTCATTTAGGGTTAGTGTGCTCAGCTTTGAGAAGAACAAAAATTCATACTTATGTACATGTGGCTAAATTTAAATATCCTGTGTTTGCTACTAATTTTGAAAGTCATAAAACTTCTTTTGATATATCTTGGTAAAAGTAACCATATACTGTAAGCATTTAAATATGTTTAATTTTGTCATAATAGCATTTATAAAGTACATCTTACACATTATATTGAAGGTTCTTGTTTGAAATTTTTAATACTCTTTGTTTTCAGAGCATATCTTGGCCCTCATGATGGGCAAAGAATACAGTGAAAGCAGATGGGTTGGGGATTAGTGGGGAGTGGGTAGGGGATCATTTTCTTATATGACATTTTGCCTTAAGAATTAAAAAAGTGCTTTAGCACTGCTGACTGGCATTTTTAATGCAGGTAGTGAAAATGATTTTAGAAGCGTAGCATGAAAAAGAGGGAAGGAGAGTTTCTGTTTTCTGACCTTTAAGAAGTGCCTAGTAGGTAGTTACAGTGAGTCACAGAGAAGTGCACAGAGCTTGAGGAAAGGCATGAAGTCCCTGAGATGTTCTTTTCCTTTTTGTGTGAGTGTATAGTATTAAGATGCCTAGAAATGGGACTTTATTGTCCCGTCTCGTATAGGCACTTTACATTTGCTGTGACTGCAGCAACCACATACAGTACAGACAACCTCAAAAGCTGTTTATATTAGTGTAAATAGAAAAACTGTAGAGAATTTTCTGATTTTCTCTGTGGACATTTTTGGGAACGTATCAATAGTATGCACTATGTTGTATGTAGGGAATAGCACCACATCACAGGTTGTCTGTGAACTTCGGGGTCATCTTCTCTCAGTTGCCCAGTTGTATCCTGGCATCAGTCCCTTTTTCAAGACTGGATAGAGACGAGATTTCTTCACATGAGTTAACTTTGACCCCTTCCACTATCCAAATACAATCTGGAACTTAATACTTCGGGATAGACATTCCTATAGTTCAGCTATCCCTTATTCTCCTGTACCTTTAATCACTATCAGTGAAGATATGTTTTCTCACTCCTGGAGGTATTCTAAACTTTACCTATAACCATTGTTCCCCAAATCACTAGTTTCTAAATAGCTTCTCTAGTTTCTAAGTAGCTTCTCTTGCTATTTTCTCACTACTGACTTGATTTACAGATTT